TAATATATTTACTATATATATAATATATTTACTATATAATACGATAAGGAAACGACACTTTGTGATCTTTTTCTTGCGCCACCCACTTTCATAGAACGTCAACGATGCATAGTTGCAGGTGATCGAGTCTTACCAAATCACAACATATAACTCGTTCATTACAGGTTAGTTCGATACAAGACAAGATAGGCTTTCTTTAACGTAAGCGCATAACCTGAAGGTCCTCTCCTTTTATTGGCACCGTTAATTTCTGCGCTGGTAGACGTATGATCAAACAGCAGCAGCTGCGGTATCCCTTTCGAACCACGAACGCTTGTTGTTGCATAAGCCACAGACCTTCCTAAAGGTAATTCTTTTCTACAATATCACCGCGAATTCTCCACGATGGTCTCCCATTTTCAAGTTTATTGCCATCCAATCTCCGGAAGTAAACAATCATTTTGGGACAACCACAATAACAGCCGGGTGTCTATGGCAGACATGATGAAATGGATGACAAAAACAGTTCGTATATGACGTACAAAAGGCTACCGGTCCGAAGGAATAAATAAAGGCACCACTATTCTATGTCAATGCATTTTGTCGGACAGAAGGGATACTACCTCGGCCATGTTATTTGATATTTTATGACCTAATGACTATTTTACTCACATTGTATTGAAGCTTTTGTCTTCCAATGAGGCAGCATTTTGCCTAAGGAACGCTATGAAATTCAAACTTATCGCTTTGTTGCTATTCCATCCCGATTCAGATTCGTCCAAGCCCACCATCCCATAGAGCGGACAAGAAAGCACAGAAAAACTTGATCGCAGGCAGAATCCACAACCCCTTGGCATCATCAACGAGAGGCTGATTTTGGTAAGTCTCACATGGAATCTTGTTTCTTGTCCGTGTCGGCAGGAGGACTCACGATCCAAAACCAATAAACGAAGCGCGCTCGCTGTTCTGTAACTGATAGCCTCAAGGGTTTCGTTCAGTAAGCCAAATTACAAGATGGACGAAAATTTTTCACCAGGTATCTGGATATGATGAGCTTCGAGTGGCTTGTGTGGCCCTCATGCTTGCCGAACTTCTTCCACCTTAGCCATGCGCGTCATATGCAATAATCGGGTGACGTAATTCCTGATGTCCCTATTAGTATGCGAATTAGCGGTCTCTGTTAGCATTAACGTTCGCATTGTTTTCAGTACCGGTGAGCAATGATAAAAATCGTGAAGTCGTCCTTCGCCGCGAACAGAGCTATATATATATATACTGTAATAAGGAAAAACGAGTCATAGCTATAGTGACTGGCATAATGGCTCTCACATATGTACATACAAATGTAGATTACAGTGAGATTAACGAAAGCATATCAAATAAAATCGTGCATCAACGCTTGCTTCCAACTGCTAACACGTCTTTACAGAGTTTCTTAGATAGGTGTCTGTTTATTAAAGAATAAAAACGCTGAGATGTCATAACATGCTGCCTGTAGCTAACCTTATCCAATATCCTGATGAGTCTTGTTCTGCCTGTCAACTTCTTACGCCCTGCAAGTAGCAAGGTTTACCAGCGACCTGGAAGCTTACCATCAAGTTGCCCTTGCCAGCAACAGTGACAATAGCAATCGAAATGATTACCCTTAGAAAGCCATAAACCAGATCTTCCCGTCTCTTCGAAGCATCGCTATAACCGGCGATGACGATGACCACTGCCACCGTTCATCTTGCATACACATGTGTATCAGTGAGCACATAAACAACGATATTAGTGTTTGACTCACATCGCTATGCGCTGCATACTCAGCTAGTGGAACGAAACCGGCCAGCGGTATTCTCCGACCCTTTCTCTCAATCGGGTCCGACTTTGACCAGTCGTCCTTGCATCATGTTTCCTCCGGCAGCTTAATATTGTCAGACGAGTAGATATAGGCTAAAGGCTCTATGACAAGCTAAGAGAAGCCGAAACACTACATAGGAGCATCTCGTTGATCAGAGACAGATGTTGAGCGCAGTGACATACGCTGTCGGGATAACGAAGACGCATTCGCTCGAATGGCGCCTTGATTGGGTTGGAAAGAGTCGTTCGTGCGACCCGAGTCAGTGGCACAATATGAAACGTGTCGATGTATCACGATTCAGCGTTACAAGGGTAACATACCCCCTACCTGAGTTGTAGCTCTAACTAACATCACCCCGACGCGTGCCGTAGCTGCATTCATTATATACGATATAAAGTGCAGATTGAAAGAACCAATCTGATCGAAAGCGTAACAGGCAGAACAAAAACAAAGCTCTACCGTCATCGAACAATAATCTTAATGAAAGTAATACTTGCCGTACGTACATATGGCAAAATCGCCTCACACTAACCTAATGAATCAACTCTGAACGATGATCCAACGCAATCAGCACTGCAGAGCTATGCTACAAACCATTGTCAGTGTCTAAATGATTAGTGTTTTCGAATCTCTTTAGCACATAAGCGAAAATAGGATTTATAGTAAATGAGATAATGATTTACGATCACCTGGACGGTGCTGTTGCAAACAAACATCAGTAGCAATACGGCGACACTACACTTTCGCTATCAATAAAAAAAGGCTTTCTTAAAAGCAAAATCAGATTACGGCCGGAGGTCGCTTATTACCGAAACGAACAAAACAAGTACGAAGTGACGAAATCGCGCAAAAGCTATGGGACAGATAGGGCAGTGATTGAGCAACTCTTATTACTCAAGGACTATTAGAACAGCTTTTCCCCGTTGGTAGCAAATGCTTCTGACTCGACATACGGCTGGAACAATCAGTAAAGCCAACCATGGTAGGACGAGAGTATACATCTCGAATAGGAATGTGAAGCGACCACTAGAAGTACCAAATTCTCGAAAACAGCACGACCTGTCCTTTTACTGACTGGCGTTTGCCTTCTGTTGTTAGTCGATGAGAAGGCACATATTCGAAATCATCGTAAGTTGAATACAACCGATCGGCAATCGGCGATTTGAACTGTTGCCACCTACCCATGTCACTTGCACCCGCAGCTACCCAAATTCAATAAGAAGGCTAAGTGACCTAATTGTCTGGGCAGAGGTTTACGCTATAACGACTTTTACCGGTTTTCTGACCCCCGATAGGTAGGAACCAGCGTCCATTGTCACTTCAAACGCTCGCTCCCGTTCTAATTCTCGCAACACCTCGGTTTTCGTTCGTTGACCTCTCCTGAAGGCAGCCAACCTTGTAAACTTTACATCGGTGATCGTCGATTTGGCCCGGATCGGCGTCGTGTCCAAGAGTAAATAATTTGCTGTGTCCTACGACGGATTGGTGGTATTTTCCCAAATGCCACTACTGATCCCGATTTACCAACGAAACCGACATAAAAAAAGATCGTACAGATGATATAGTAAATGAACACCGATTTGACGAGACAGCCTTAAAAACTCAACATAGCCGAAGAACATTCTGTTTAGTGGTTATAGTTCAGGTATCATTCACTAATCTGTAATAACCGACCCAATATTTGGACCGGCCTATTTCGAAATAATCCGATATTTAATTTATGACGCAGTGTTTTAGCGATTTCAAAATCTGGAGCAGTATGTTTGCAATTATAGTAGTCTAAAAATATATAAGGATATTTAGTTTTCCGCGTAATATAAAAGAAGTATAACGTCAACGTCAGCAGTATGTAGGACAAAGTACCGAATGTTTAGGTTGCTGATATAGGCATATTATCAGACCTACCCCATGGGTATCCTTAAATAAAAACAACTGGAACTGATTTCAGCTGCTGGAAATTCGCAGGAAAAAATCTGTCGCGATCCGGGTTAAAATTTAAAACTCATATAACAGCTATAATTATGATTCGACCTATTGAAAATACAGCAAAACAGAAATAGAATGACGATATATGGGGATGCTTAAACGTCAAATGTTAGTACAAAAAACGAGGTAGTAGTAGTCAGTGGAGTCGGATCTTGATTTATCAGTTACACATATATAAGTTAACTCGGAATGATATTGAACCGACAATAGATATTACGATGGCAAAATGGAAGGATATTTGTTGTAAGGTAACGTTGAAACAGTCTTATAGATCTCATAACAATATATTTTTGCTTCTTGTTTCTTAACAGCGATTCCTAAAGGGTATATGTCATCCTCTTTGAGTATCTGTGCTTCCGATACACCAAGGACGATTTTTATTCTGCTAAGTATAGACTTGCACCAAGCGACAAAGTGCGCATGTGTGCAGCTCTAGTACACCATAGGTCTCTGTACACGTAGGCGAAGACTTGAAAATACAAATATTCCGTCAATGCACGTCGTGCATTTATTAACGACCTTAAACGGTATATGACTATTTAAGGAAATGGCGGGAATTTTCTAGCACAGTCATGTTAGACTTCCAGCCATGGCGTAGTTAAATAAATATACGAGCGCATTGCACTCAATAGCACAATCAGTGCCTTTCATTTGCGTTTGGTACTCTGAACAGACTATTCATAATTTACCCTATTTTCAATTTCTTACGTGGTAGATTTTTAAGGTTCAAGCGGTAGAAGCAGCTGGAATTTGCATGCTGGACGCTCAAGTAGGATCTGGTATGAGTTTTATTATTATTATTGGAAACGAATTTTTTTACCTGTATATACCTGTACATCTTATCTTGTATGAAAATTAAGCTAATAGGTAAGGTTTACTTTAGCGTACGCAGGCGTTGGGCAAGCCGGGAGAGAATGATGGCTACCATTTAAAGCTCATTTGTGGACTGAAGGCGTTTGCTATAATCTATTTCCCTGGCTTTTCGGAGCCACACATGTGCTTGCGGATGTGTGTTCTTCATCACACTGGGTCGCATAGGTGGAGGCTCATGTGTGGAAAACTGTGGTGTGTATGAGAGGAGGAAGTCAGAGAAGTCTGTTTTGTCTATAGAATTGATTAGTGACACACATGCGTCTTCTACGTTGAATCGCTCTACTTCTAGCTCGTACTCGATTCTCGCATCTTCTCTCGTTCCGCCTTCTCGATGGTAATTATTTATGAGTTGCACCAGCACGCCGTCTCCGCTCGCAAGGTCGATTCGGGCCTTAGAAGCGCCGCTAGTTTTGTCCGTATATGAATTGAGGTCGTCAGTGGCCCACTTGAAGTTTCTGTCTGTGATCTTTCTTTACTATCGAAAGCTTCTTTTTTTCATATATTCAACCTCTTGTGCTCTCTCGCTGTTCCGTCCACCCTTACACATACAAGCACATATCTCAGAGTGAGTAATTATTTACTGGGCAAAACTATGAACAGCCATACCTGGCCAAGTCTCAAGGGGACAATGATTGCTTGTCTGGGTTTCATCTGCCATCTATTATAAACAATTACGGTACTTGCGTACAGGTCTCTGATTAGACAACACGGGTACTTCCTTATTGTTCTATTGTAATTTAAAGAACATTATTAGTGCTTACTACGGTGCTAGACTGTTGTGACATATTAATGACTGAATGAAAAGAGCGAAAAGAAACAGTTAAAAGCAAAAGACATATGGAGCGGCTGATTCTTACATGCATGATTGCGTATGGTATGATAGTTTTTCTCTGAAAATTTGAATACATTTATTATCCGGCAAGTGCTACCCGTAGCAACCAACCTGTCACTGTTTAACGTGATACTTTCTAGGTAACAACCAAACGCCATTGTTATAAGAATCGTTTGACTGTTCATTTACAAAAATTTTCAAAAGAATTGAAATACCCATAGCTTTAAATTAGACTGAACACACAAATCGAGATTACTTATTATCGAAACCAACGAACCAACTTATTATAATAAGTAGTCTAATTAATATATTATAAATTAATACACTCGATTGGCATACATAGATAAAATTTATTGGAGCGTACCAAATTTACGAAGAAAATATTAAGCCTGACGCTATGTTGGTACGATAAATATATAATTAATCTTCTTTTTTCAACCTAAAAACAATGTCTATACTTTCGACTCCTTAGAAAAGTCTCGGTAACTAGCTAAGGATGCAAAACGTGCAGCTCGTCCGTTTAGAGCGTTGTTGGCCAGTGTTATTATCTCTTTACGTGACTCCTTAATTGTGATATTTAAGCAAATGACTGCTATTCTAGCGATGAACCACGATATCGTAAGGAGCAAGAATCTACATAGAGGAATTGAACACATTTCTCGTATTTACTGCGAACTTCACTCTTCTTGCGCGCTTGCTATCCTTGATCGTTCTGTTTGTTCAAAGAATTATTTCCATTCAAGTACTTTTGGACCGGTTTGCCTAATTTTTTACAGTACCTATTTAGTTAGATCTCAGTAATCGATTACTTCGCATATATTTCGCCTCGCATAAACTAAATTACGAAGGAACAAAATTAGTTAATTGTAGTGCAGTACGTGAATCGTACATCATACTTAACTCGCTGCTTCCAGCGTATTAAAAAAATTGTGGCCACACTGCTACGAATGACTATTTTTAAAAAAAAAAATCTGTATACCCCCTACCTAGCCCTTGAGATCTTTTCAACGGCTATCTAGTCCAGGCGTAGCGCATTTTGTTACGTGCACCTATTAACCCATCATTGTTTGTTTCATCTCTCTCTCTCCTTCTTTCTCTATTTCCTGCTTCCCTTTACGATCTATTTTCTTCGAGTTAGTAATTTCCAATGAATTTGGCGAGCATTTACCGTGCATCAGTTATATCCATGCAACCTGGCTGAAATTATATATATATATATATATATATATATATATATATATATATACATATCTAATTTAAAATATAACTTACATATTTTTATTTCATAAAATAAATAAAATAAAAAAATATTTAATATTTTAATTAATATATATTTATTCAAAAATATAATATATATAATTTGAGCCAGGTTATATATATATATATATATATATATATAAGAGCAGAGACGGAAGCAGGACGGGAAGAATTATTTGTCTGAAGTTCTACCAGGCGCGAGGAAGTTACGTGTTCTGCGTAATGTGTACAATTATTGCGGTGTAATCACAAATAATGTGCAGTTTGTACTCAAGATTTGCAGTGCTGTTATTTATGCTGTGGTTTAGTTGATTGTTATTAACATTATTGCTGCTACTGTTGATGGTGTGTTTATTCCTGTTGCTGTGAGCGTTGTTGACGAGCTTCGTGCTGGCTCGTTTTAACGACGTTGGCACAATTGTTCGTGTTTATTCATGCTACTAGTGACTGAGGTACTGCTGTTCTTAGTTTCCTGATGCATCCGTGCTAACAGTCCGTGAGTCAAAATGATGACCTTAATTGGTCGGTGGACGGTAAGCAACGTCGGGAGACCAGGCAGTCGGTAGGCCTTTAGACCAACCTCTCCACTAGTGATTATCATTACGGTTGCTTCTACGACTGCTTTTACGGCCAACCCGTCGCCTTACTGCTCCTTTTCTGTGGCGCCCCGCGACACAACCGCTGGCGCGAGTCAGTCGCGATGTTTTCCCATTTAGATCCCCATCATTTTCCCGCGAGGCCACTATCCAATACAGCTAACCTGACACCTTTCCAGCGACTACCACCTGCTGAAACCCGACGACTCGCTACCAGCTTGCTTTACTTTTGGCGATGCTCTCAGAGAAGAAAGACTCGCTCTATTTAACAGCAATGGCGACGGTGATAGAAGCGCCAACATGAACCCAGCACAAACACAGGCGTACAGTGAGTAGAGAAAGTAGAATAGAAAGAAAACATTATTCAAGCTTGTATGGCTGCAGTCGTTAATACTGCTATTGGCGCTATGTTCGCTGCAGTGTCGGAAGACCCTTGTACGTAAAATGCTTTTAGAGGTAGACGTGTTCCTATTTTGTCTGTCTCATATTTTTAGCGAAAAACGGCGAGCACATATTACGTATACTATAGGTGGTGCTCTTAGGTGGCCGGAAGTTTGCTGCATCTATCGTCTTGTCTTCGTCTTCGGATTTCGTTCTTGCCCCCTGATGTACGCTGACGCTCGGGGACACAGACACGAACGCAGGCTAGAACACTCTCACAGAAGCGCACATTTATGCATATACGACAGTAACTGGAAACAAGTCACAAAAATTACACAGGATTCATCATCTAATTTTTGCTTTGTTGTGCAGCTTCGTAATCTGTAGTCTTAATGGTAGCTTTTTTCGAATTTCAGGCGCCATATGATACGTGTACGTACACACACGGTACACAGTGAAGACCGACTCTAGTTTTGAGACAATTGTTCCTTACATTGGTGCTTCATCTATCGCAGTTTGCGTTATGTGCCACTAACTGTAGGCATCATGTCAATTCTGCTTATGAAAACGGCACTTAGTTGTTCT